TTTGCTTCCCTGCCCTACAGGAGGAGCATCATGGGAAGTTTGCTTCCCTGCCCTAGAGGAGGAGCACCATGGGAAGTTTGCTTCCCTGCCCTAGAGAAGGAGCATGATGAGTGGGAGACTTGCTTCGGGCCACAAGGAGCCAGAGCCTCACTGGGAGAACACCCATTAGAAGCATTTGAATGATCCCAGTGATGAGCTCTTGTGCTCGTGGACCCTGATTTCAGGAGCGAACGCAGCGCAGCCACTCTCTTCCTCTTCTCAGTCTCCCTTCTGTCTCCAGGGCGCGCTTCCTGGCCTCCGTCCCAGCCTCCCAGTGTGCGCCCTTTCTGATCAGCCTGGGGAAGAACCAGCTGGACTCCTTGGTTTTAGATTCTCACAAAAAGAATTTGGTCCTCAGGAAAGTGCAGCAGTGCCTGGTAAGGAAGTTTCCTACGTGTCACCTTCACTTGTGCCCCCGCCCCTTGGCGTGTCTGTGCCCATCGAGGGAGCCCTGGGGGGCGCCTGGCTGGGATATTGAGCCTGCTGTAATACTAAGAAATCTGATGTGTGGCCCGAAAATCATAGGTTGGAATTACGTTGGCCATGGGTTCTGCAGATGCCTGTCCCGTGGCCTGAATGATGGGGGGCCATGTGGGAGGACGGGGATAAAAAGCATGGTACACAGTCTGAGCCCTAGACATGCAGCAATTAGTGATGAGGCTTTGGGAAAGTCCTTTCTCCTGCTGAGCCTCAGTCTTCTCATCTGTAAGATGGGCGCCTTCTGGAGTTCTGGAGGGCATTAAAGTAGGCAGTGAGTTGTTTAAGGCAAGGTCCTAAGGCCAGGCTGCCTGGGGAGCTGTCTTTAAAAAGTGGATGATATTAGCACTTACCTCTGACAGTTACAGGAATATTAAATGGATCAAAACCTGCAGACACTTAAAAGAGTGCCTGGCACAGCACACGATAAACGTAAGCTATTTTTGCCACTTTGAGAAAGAACTCTGGAAGCTTTCAAGTGTTATACAAACTTTGAAGCGCTGAATTTTTAATGTTATATTATTATTATGATGCTTGTTAAACTCCGGAGAGTCCCTTGAGCTGTGACAACAACAGCCCTCATCGACTGAGTGGGGAAGTGCCCAGCTAGGTTTTCTCAGACTTCGGAGACCACCCTCCCTGGGGGGAACCAGGCCCCGCTCTGTCTGTGGTGCTCCATGTCGGGGAATGTTTAAGAAGTTCGGGGCAGGGAGTATTCTTAAGGAATCACACCCTGGAGCACTGCTGGATCTCTCATCAGCTTCACTTGTTGTTTTCAGGGCAATTCCGTGGCTGACGAGTACACCGTGGACATCCTGGGGCACCTACTCTGTCACTTACCAGCCGCCTTTATTGAGAGAGGGATCTCCACTAGGGCCTGGGCCACCGCTCTGCTCGGCCTCAGAGATTGCCCAGACCTCAGCCCTGAGCAGAAGGCTGCAGTGAGGCTCAGGATCCTGGAGCAGTGTGGGTGAGAGGGCGGGGCTCAACTCCGTGGGGCTAAGGGTGCTGGGTGGGGGGGACTGAAGCTTGCCTCTCCTGCCCTGCCACCAGAGAGCGTCTCAGTGTAGGATGCGATCAGATGCCTGCACCTGTTCTGGAAATGTGAGCTTCCTTTACTTGGCTTCAGATTCCCTGTGAAGTAGGAATAACTGTAGCCGCCAGCAGGCCTTCCATGGTTGCCGCTGGCACATGGAAGGGAAGGAGTTTTGAAAAGACGGCCTGTTAAAATGCAAGGTGTGGTAATGTTATCGTTTTAAGAAGTTTTTCATTTGATGATTGCTAACCGAGAACCTGTCTTCTGGGTCTGATACTCTGTCCTCACGTTGGTGATTCTGTTGCATATACTTTCAGTAGGATTTTTAATCTGGATATGTTTGAATCTCTTTTATGGGATCCCTTTCTTCCCTATGTTGGGCGTTCACGGTTTCCATCACTTTCCTAAGCTCTTCTGTTTTTTAAAAATCTGTATCTGTTCTAGATTCACTGAGCATATTCTTATTATGGTCATCATCTCTTTAATTATCAGTGAAAATATTTCTGATTTTTCTAGAGCCTCATTCATCTGCTTTGCTACTTCTGCTGCTACCGTTTCAGAAAGTTCAGCCGGGTGGCTTTTGCTTTCTTCCACTTCAGTACCTGCCGGATTTGCCTGGGACGAGCCGGCAGTCTGAGGCTGCTTCTTTGTTCCATGTCTTCTTATTCCCTATTTTTAAAAATTTGTTTTCTGTGTTGATGCTTGTAAATTGCTTGTGGTAGGTAGCTTTATTACTAGTATCGATATCTCCTTAGGAAATGACTACTTTTCAGAGATATCCTCTAGGTGTAGCTGCCTTTTGGCTTTTGAGTGTATCCCAAGATCTTGCCTCTTCAATTTATTAGAGATCAGAAGTTGCTGCCTTGGCTTAACACCCAGTTCTTTGGTCCTAGATGATGGTATTGTTTATGACCCTCAGATAATCTCAGCACTGACATATAAGAAAGAAGAACTGACCACAACAACTATGTCACCTTGGCTGAAGTAGTATAGTCATTAATAACAATAACATCAAGCACAGACTAGAAAAAGACAAACTGTGCTAACTGTTGGTTAGTTTTTTTTTTTTTTTTCTGGAAACTGGAGTCAAACTCACGACCTTGCGCTTGCCAGGTAGGCACTGTGCTGCTGAGCTAAATTCCCAACCCTGGTAACTGTTAATTTGCTACCTTAACCGTATGTATAAGATTATAACAAAATCTAAAACAAGCCAGAAAATTACATGCAGAAAATATCCTCTCAATAGAACAATTTTATCCTTGGGAGAAAATTTCAAAGGGATAAGAGAAAAAAAATAAAGAAATAAAGGAAGAGAAAGAGATTAGAAGCAAGGGTGAAGGACAAAGAAACATTGCGCAAGCTTTGGGAAACTGGTGAAGAAGAGAGAAGGGAAAGAGAGAAGGAAAAATAAAAAACAAGAACTGAACAAACAAACAAAGAGCCTCTGAAAACAATGTTTACACTCATGAAAAAACAAAAACAATCAAGAATAACAACAATGACAACAAAACAAATGCAAAGGGGAAAAAGAGAGAGATTTCTCTGTGATTTCAAGCCTGTAGCTATCTTCTGGGGTCTGCAGTTTTGTGGCGGTGTACAGTTCAGGTGCGTCTCCACTCTGCTGCAGACAAAGAGGCAGCCGGGGCCCTGCTGCATGCTGGGTAACCTGGCATGTCTGCAGCAGGAGTAGGGTAGGGTACCAGTTCTGGTGGTTTCCACTCCACAGAAGTTCAGGCTGAGCCTGGCCCCTGGCTGTGGGGTTGGAGGCTGAGTTGTTCAGCCTACAGCGCTCTGGCTGTCTCTTGCTGGCCTGACCTCAGCCCTTGACCCTGGATGTCTCCCAAGGTCGTGGCTCACCCAGTCACCGGGAGCTGTGAGAGGAAGCGACCCAGGGCTGCTCCACGTCCCCGCTTCAGGTGGCCCTGGCCAAGCAGGGAGTGCTGGGGCTGGAGTGCAGCGACTGACAGCTGTTGACGTTTACAGCATCTGCTGCTCCGCTTCCCTGGCGTATTTCTCCAGGGAGGCCTCTGGCGTCCCCGCCTTCGCTGTGTCTCTAGATTTGAACCTCCCTTCTCACTCTGCAGGTCAAGGGTCAGGGAGAAAGTACAGTCTACACTGCTTTTTTCTGTGTGGAGATTCATCTCTCACTTGTCTTGTGGGCCCCAATTCTCCCTTCAAATCCTTTCTGGGTCCTGGGAATCCACCTCCCTCCTTCTTTTCTTCCCCACACTGTTACATTCCAGTGTCTGGATTCCAAACTCGAAGATGCTGATTTGCTGCTGTTTACCACTCTGGCATCTTCCCAGAAGTCCATTTTTTATTGTTTTAAAGATAGGTTTTTAAGAGTAGTTTTGAGTTCTTCATAGCAAAATTGAGAGGAAGGTATAGAATTCCCATATATCCCTTGTCCCAGGATACCCATAGTTTTCCCACTGTCAGCATTTCCTAGCAGAATGAGGCATTTATTCCAGTTGATGAATGGACATTATTGTCATTACATTACCATTATGACCCAAAGTCTGTAGTTTACACTGGGGGTTACTCATGATGTTGTGTACTTTATGGGTTTGGATAAATGTATAAAAACATATTCACCATTAAATGTCATTCAGAGTAGTTTTGCTGTTCTAAGAATCCTCTGTGCTATGTATGTTTATTCCTTCCTCCTTCTACTCTCTGGACACCACTGGTAATTTTGATTTTCCCAGAATTCCATGCCATTGGAAGCATGCAGTATGTAGGCTTTTTAAGATTTGCTTCTTTCGCCAGGCATGGTGGCGCATGCCTATAATCCCGGCACTCGGGAGGCTGAAGCAAGAGGATTGTTATGAGTTTGAGACCAGCCTGGGCTACAAAGTGAGCTCAAGGCCAGCCTGAACTGCATGGTGAGATCCTGTCTCAAAAAAAGACAAAAAAATTTTAAAAATCGAAGAATTGCTTCTTTCATTTAGTATTGTGCACTTGAGTTTTTCTCCATGTCTTTAATGGCGTGGTAGATCATTTTTTTTTAGTGCTGGTTAATATTCCACTGTCTGGATATACCACAGTTTTTATGTAGCTCCACCTGTTGAAGGATATCTTGGTTGCCTCTGCGTTTTGGCCATTCTCCATAAAGCTGCTATAAATATTCATATGCAGATTTTTGTGTGAACATACGTTTTCATCTCCTTTGGGTAAAAACTAAAGTGTACAGTTTCTGGAGCTTGTGGTAAGAATGTGTTTAGCGTAAGAAGCCATCTTACTGTCTTCCTGAGTTAGAGCTGTTATCCTTCCAAGTTTAAGAGAAAAAATTTGGTTTTATAAGAGAAGACTGTTCTGGTGATTAAAAAGGAAAAACCGTTTCGTGATTCTTAAGGAAGGGAAGGAAGGGAGTATTGGGATATAAGTTGCAGAAATTTGATAATTCAACCCAAACATGGAATATAAGGGAAAACTACATGGTGTTGACTTCATGCTTGGCTGGTCGAGTCCTGTTCCTCGGCTCAGAACTCCTTTGTGTGGACTTTATTTTCTCCGTTTGGCACAACATTGATCTCCAGTGTCCTCTTTACTGGGAGAGATCTCAGGAAAAAGACAGCCTGTTTGATCCACTGGATATCTCTGATTGGTCAATCTGCATCACACGCCCATTTTTTTTTTGCCAGAAAAGTGGGGCCCTGTTGACAGCCTTCCTAGGTGTTAAGAATGATCTGTTCTTAAAAATAAAGATGCTAAGGTACAAGGGCAAAAGATGTCCACCACTGCATTTTTAAAAAATTTTATTGCTTGTCATCTCTTCTCAGACACCCACAGAACTGGACAGCAGAGACCGTGAAGGACTTGGGGCCTTTGCTCGTACTCTTCTCAGGAGACGAACTACGTTCTGTTGCCACAAAGGTACTTCCGTGTCTCCTTTCGTGAATGCTGAAGAGCTCGAAGGGAGGAAAGTGGGGTCAGTTGCCTTCCTCGGATGATACAGTCTGTGGTTCTGGAAGCTTCCTCCTTGTCCCAGGTGTTTCCAGGTTCATTTCGGGTTGCCCAAGGTTCAGGATAAGGGAGTGAGGCAGGAACTAAATGGACTCTGGACTGCTGCGTGGCCCTCCAGGCGGATGTGTGAAGCCTGGGGACTGTCACTTAGCTTTTATTTTTTTTTGAGACGGGGTCTTGCTATGTAGCGCGGCTGGCCTTGGACTTGCTCTGTGCACCTTGAACTTGCTGTGTGATCTGGGCTGGCTCCTGTCTACTCATATCTTAGCCTTTTTGTTTGTTTGTTTGGGAGTTGGCGTCTCTCCAGGCTGATCTTGAACTCCTGGGTTCGAGTGATCCTCCTGCCTCACTCTCTTGAGAATCTGGGTCCACAGGTGTGTGCCACTGCACCCACGCCCGTTCAAGGTCTTAGAGCCTCCAGTTTCGTATGCTCATGCACATGTGTGCCCGGGTCGTGCAATCGGCGGTGCAAACACCAGGACACAGCCTTCCTGAAGACCAGCTTCGGGCAGTGCGTTGTGCTTGGAGTGACTCCATGATTTAGACAGACTAAGCGAAGTGACATGCAAGCCAAGCAGAAGTTAGCCTCCCTCTGCTGTGTGAACAAAGCCACCCAGGCTCACTGGCCTGTGGCAGAGGCTGGTTCCCTGCTGCCCGCTCTGCCGGCCACTGGGGCAGCCGTAAGTCTCCATAAGTCTGTCTCTGGAGCCCTGGATGAGTCTTTTCACACAGAGGGTCTGAAGCTCCTGCAAATGGAGGGGAAAAGTGTAACTGGGGAAATGGCACACTGTCGCTTCAGCCACATGCCAATGGCCAAAGCAAGTCACCCGAGTCAACCCCACCTCTATGGGGCAAGAAGTAGCTTCTTCCCGTGGAGGTGGGTGGTGGAGAAGGAGTGAGTGTTTGGTGGGTAACTGTCAGATCTATCACACACACATCCACACACTCTCCCCCCTGTGCATCATACATGCTCAGTGGGGCTCTCCAACGTGCACACATTGCTCTGGAGCACATGCGTGTCACACACTCATCAATCATCTTCTGAGTGTTTGAACACACAGCCATAAGCAGTAGATCGATGGGGTGGCACGCACCTGTGATACTAGCATTCTTGGAGGTCAAGGCAAAAGGATCGTGAGTTAAGCCCAGCCTTGGCAACTTACTGAGAATCCATCTCAAAGTAAAAGTAATAAAAGAGTTGGCAACTGACCTCAGTGTGAAGGCCCTGGTTTCAATCCCAGGTGTGTATAGTAGGGTGCTACATAGGTGAAGACATACTAGCTAAATTAATTTTAAGCACAAAAAGCCAGTGTAGATGAAGAGAAATTTCCAAGTGTGCAGGAGAATCGTTAATGCCAAATTCAGCCCCACAGTTACGGGGGCGGGGGAGGCGGGAGAGTCAGGAAGGGACCTGTCCGTTATATCCGTGATGTTTTATTTCATAAGCTGGATTGTCGGTCCATGGGTGTTTTGTTGTATTATTCTCTATACTCTTTTTCATGATTTGAATGTTTAATAAAACAAGTAATATGTGCTCATGGATGACAAAAATCCCAGCTGCTCCGAAGGCTGCAGCATGAAAAGCAAGAGTGCCTCCCGCCCAACCCAGATCTCCAGTTCCCCACTCTCCCTCCTGAGGCGAGCGCTATTCTGTTCTCGGGCATCCTTTCCGGAGTACCCTACCCACACCTGTACACGTGCCCCCCTTGAAAACACCAGTCCCTCTGCTACGCACTTTGCATTTTAAAAGTTAACCAGTCGTGAACTGCGGAATGGCGGGGCTGAGGCCTGAGTAATGATGCATCGTTGGGTGATTCTGTCACCGTGCAAACATCACAGAATGTTTTTCTGCAAACTAACATTATGAGGTGATCTAGTCTCGTGGGTTCCCTGCTGTGTCTGGGGCCTGCATTGATGGAAAACATCATTCATCGGTACTTGGCTGTCCTCTTAGATGACGGGCAGCGCAGTGAGCTTGTTCACCCCAGCTGCACTGCGAGTGTGGGACACGTGTTGCGTTAGGGTGGTGGCGGTGTCACTAGGACCCTGGGATTTTTCAGCTGCATTAGCATCCTATGGACCAGCGCTGTGCGTGAGGCCTGTCACTGGCTGCAAGGTTGGTGTGCAGCTCACAGCTGTGTCTCAGAGCTGCTGTTCAGCCTGAGCGCCCACGAGAACCAACTCAGGACCCTGCTGTGGACTTCTCCGGTCCCCAAGCCAGACCAGCTCACTGGGAGTCTCTGGAGGCAGGGCCCGGATTTCTGTAGAATTCCCAGGTGACTCTGACATCCAGCCGGAGTCCCTGGGAATGAGACTAGAAAGAACTACATAAACTGAGGTGCTCTCTCTCTGGGCAAGCTGGGGCACAGGGGTGCACGACTCTGTGCCACTTGGTGCATTTCCTAGGCTCGTGGGCAGGGCTGCCAGCGAAAGCTCAAGTCAACTAAGTGTATTAGTTCCAGATGAGAGCTGACCCCTTCTCCAAGGCAGCCAAAGCCCTTTAATGCTAACCTCTATCCAAAACCCGGAGGTAACCCTTCCCTGCTTCTTTTTGTAGTAAATATCAAATTTAAAAACTTTCGACAAGCTCCAGGCCAACAAGGGGTGGACAAGGCACATTTCTGTAGGTAGTATCGGACATAACTCACCGTGTAACAGTCCCACAGCAAACTGAGTGTGCCTCTCCTACATTTCAGCCGATGTAAAGTAGTATGACTTTATTTTTGCTGATCTGATTGGCAAAAATGACATATACTTGTTTAGCATTTAATGGGTTATTGTGGGGATCCTTTTATAAGATTCTTTATAGAGACCACATTAGTTAGGGTAGGAATTAAATTTACATGGGAAGCTGCAGTGAAGAAGGAAAAATCCAGAGGCACTAAGTAGTGCTACTGCTTAAGCTCCGATTTCAATGTGTGTAACGCGCTGTGATTGTGATCGGTTCCTGTTTCCCCACAGTTCCCCGATATCCTCCAACGAACAGCTTCTGAGCTGTCTGGGAGCCAGATCCCGCAAGCGTTCCTCTGGGCTGTCTTTGAATCTGTTCAGAACAGCAGTGATGAGAACCCTCGCTTCCACGCCACCCCTGGTGAGTGCTGTGGGGCTACCTGATCTCAGCCAGGGCGGCGGCGTCTGGGGCTGAGTCCTGACATTAAGAGGCCTCTTTGGTCGTGGGATAAGTGGAGTAGTTAGGAAGCAATAGAATGACAAAAATCCACAGGCTAAGGTAAAACACCTTTGTAAGGAGATTTGAAATGGTGTTCCACACATCTTACCTGGGCTGTAGGTTAACGGGTGTGTGTGTGTGTGTAACAAAACATTTCAGCAGGATTGGCTTGAAGGGCAGCAAGAGTTCAGCAGCTAAATACTGCAAGTATGGGGACAGGGGCCAGATTTGAATCCCGTCTGCCACTTGCTACTGCTGTGTGACTTTGGGTTAGCGTTTCAGCTTCTCTGTGCTTCAGTTCTCATCCTCTGTACAGTGGGAAAAATGAAAGCCCTGTGCTTCACTGGGTTATTTTGACGATTAGGGGCTTAAACTTATAAACATATTCACAGCAGTGCCTGGCGTGTAGAAAATGCTCCAGAAGTCTCAGATATTTTCATTATCCTAACGGGGTGCTGTGTGCAGGCTGTGCTAGCCATTGGGAGACAGTTAGTCAGACCTAATAATACTTGTAGTAGTCATAGTTAGCAATCAGTGCTTGCTTGCTTTCATTCATTCAGCAAATATTTATTGAGCATATATTACATGACATAAAGAGAAAAAAATCCCTGCCTCTCATAGAGTATGTATGTATGTATGTATGTATGTATTCATTGTCTTTTTGAGACAGGGTCTCTCTATGCAGTTCAGGCTGGTCTTGAGCTTACTTTGTAGCTCAGGCTGGTCTCGAACTTGCAATAATCCTCCTGCTGAAGCCTCCCAAGTACTGGGATTACAGGTGTACGCCACCACGCCCGGCTCTAGAGCTTACTTTTAAATTGGGCATAGCCAAACAATCAATTCTATGCTTAAGGAAAATATATAGTATATCGTATGATGATGCAAATCAAGAAGGAAAACACAGCAGAGAAAGGGGGCTGAGAGTGTCCGGTGGGGGCTGGTGGCCCTGCAGGAGAAGGTGGTCAGGGAAGGACAGCCATCAGGAAGGTCTCCTGGAGATGATGAAGTGCAAATGAGATCCCCTGGGATGTGGGCCATACGGACACTTGGGGTTCCAGTCTGCCAGGCAGAGGGAGCATGTGGCAGGGTCTTTGTTACCTTCTTGTTGCCGGGATAAAATACCTGACACCCATGAGTTAAAGGATGAGAGGGTTACTTTGGCCCACACTTTGTACAGGGTTAGCTCCTAGTCTGCTATGGACCTCTAGGTTTGGCTCCGAGGTAGGAGGGCAATGGCAGCAGAGCAAGTTCATGGGGGGCATCGAGGGAGGAGGAATACACTATACACACTTCCAGGCCCTGCCCACAGCCGTCCGCCTCTTCCCGTCCACTTTCCAACAGCACACCCAGCTATAGACTCATCAGTGACGAATCCAGCACCACACACCCACGATCCAGTCACCTCCCAAAACCTCACAAGAGTGCCTGAGGCCTTGTGGGGACGTCTGGACATAAGTCACGGCAGGCTATGATAGAGGGGTGGGAATGAGGCGCTAGTGTGGTTGCAGGGGACAGAAGACCAGGCTGGGCGCATGAGGTCTGACGAAGGAAACCATAGGGACTTTGGCTTTTATTCTGGTGGAGACGTCACGGGGCAGCAAGCCAAGAAGGTCCACATCTTTTCTATGCCCTGTCTCGTCTTCATCACTGTCCAATAAAGTGAGCACTATGATCTTCTCATTTTCTTGACGAGGGAAACTGGGGCTTAGAGAGAGTAAAGGATGCGGGCAAAGTCACAGCGTTGGAAATGGAAGTTCTTGGACCTATGTCCAAAGCTGGTGGTGTTCACCACTGGCTCCAGCTGCCCTCAAACCCCTGCAGTCTAGGTGTCACTGTGTGCATGCGGGACACGAAAACGAGATTTCCTCCCCCAGGGGAGGAAGCTCAGTTATTAGTACATAAATAGAGCTTTTATTAGTTGGTTCCAGGTGTCATTTGCTGCTATGTTTTTAGCAATTAATGCGTCAGCAAGGTCACTACTCAGTTTCATTTTAGTTCATGCGTGTGTATGTGTTCATTCACTGTATAAATATGTGCTGAACACCTACTGTGTGCCATGTTCTGTCCTAAGCCCTGGACGTACAGAGTACTAAGACCAAGCTCCTGGTGTGCTCTTCAGCTCTTCTGCTGCTTTCTGATGCTGCGCTGTCACTGATCCTGGGGAATCAGGAAGGATGGGTCTGTAGGTCTCTCTGCGGGTTGCGATGAAGATGTTTAGGGCCACTGTTCACATCCTGCTCTAATTCTGCCACCTGACTGGAGCCCAGTGAGTTGGCATTGAAGTGACAATGAGAAGGAAGTGGCCACGGGGCCTGGGCAATGCCCTGGCCTCAGATCATGCTTGTGAGGCAGTCCGTGTCAGTCACGGTCAGCTGCTAAGATGAAAAAACTTCAGGACTGCTCTTAAAGAGCCTTCGGTTTCCTTGCTGGGCACTTTGGAACCAGCAGTGGTGATATTTTATTTGAATGTTGACTGCTCAGAGAAGGCTCAATTTATTCAGAGACTAAAATGGGTGGGTTTTTCTTGTGGCCCAGGAGAATGCAGTAGACCCTTCGCTCTTCTTTCTGGAGCAGGAATGCCACACCCCTCACCGTGATTTCTATGGACAGCAAATCATTCTCTCAGATGGGTATGGGGGCTCCTCCTCTGGAACCACTGGTGCTGGGTGGCAGACTCTAATGTGTAGCAGGTCAGGCAGGTACCAGATAACAATGAGGATGATGATAATAGCAAACAATCATTAAGTGCTACTGTATGCCTGGCATCGTCCTGAGTGCTTTCTGTATGATAATGTTTTCAGTTTTTTAATCATCATACAAGGTGGTTTTTATGCTTATTCTAGAGACAAGGAAATGAAAACACAGAGGGGTAAATGCTTTGGATTTGAACCTGAAGTCAGGACCGTTCACCACAAATGCTTATTCCTTAAGGGGTTTGTAGCCTAGTTATAATGCTGTGACGTTCCTTCTTTTGTAAGTGGATGTGCAAAAATCTGTCATTTCTGTGAGTTTTGTTACCAGGTAGTTAGCAAAAATGGCAGAAGTGGCGTTTGAACTGCCCCTAGGTGTGTGCCTTCAACTCCTGTGCTAACCTGCCTCTTGCGAACCAATCAGACAGGTAAAGGATTTTATTCCATAGAGAAACTCAAATTCCCTGACACGCTCTTTCCCTGGCTCCTGCCCTGCAGCCCCTCATTCTGGAGGTTGCCATGGGGTCTCTGCTCCCTCCTCCTCCGACATCCTCAAGTTGGCTGAAGCCAATGCCTGCTGGACCCCTGAGGACCTGCTCTGCATGGGAGAAGACACGTTCAGCAGGAACGTGGAGCTGCTGGGGACGGTCAAGAGTTTCAGCGGGCCTCAGCTGGTGGCCCTGAAGGAGAAGGCGATTCAGGTAAAGCTCACCTCAGGGAGGAAGCATCAAGAGAAGAGGAAATGAAACCAAACCCAGCCCGACTCTCCACGCACGTAGCCCTCCTCAAGGAATTTACGTGTGCTTTGTTTGGTTGAGATGTCACCGCCTGAACGCAATGATGTAGTTGTGAGCTCCTAATCTGAGAAATGGGATTTTCTCCTCCCTCTTAGGACAGTGGCAGAAAATGGATTGAAATGTGTTGGAATCCTATAATCAGAAAATCACATTCTGTTCACATTCTGACTTAACCCATTTCCTGGGATTGTACCTTTTCTTTCTCTGCTTAGAGAACCCCTGAATTCTGCCAGCAGAATTTGCTCGGCGTCTACAGCAAATTCATCTGAAAACTGCAGGAATGAGTGAAAGGAAGACTGGAAATAGTTTGCTATCTTTAAAAAGTTCCCAGTGAATGGGTCACTTTAGCTGTTGGGATAGTTGTGGAAGATCTGGTCACCTTCGTGGGGTTAAAAGTGAAATTGCTTAAAGCTATATGTAGAACTCTATGGTTTTACAAATAATCCAAGTTTATTGTAGAAAAGTCAGAAAATAATAAATAAGAAAACCAGTCTTTTATCCAGAACTAAGCATTTTAGATATTTTGGTATGTTCACCTGAAGCTTCACAGACTGCTGTGTATGTGTATAAAATATAGATTTCATACATGCATTTCATGCTGGTGGTCATTCCTTAGTATCTGTGGAGAGCTGACTCCTGGACCCCTAAAAATACTAAAATCCATGAATGCTGACGTCCCTTATATGAAATGATGGAGTACTTGCATATAACCGACCATACCCCCCAACATGCAAATGCTGTGTAAATACTTGTTATACATATCATTTAGGGAATACTGATAAGAAATGTTTTTTAATTCAATACAGAGGGGCTGGGGATATAGCTCAGCAGCACAAGCGCCTGCCTCACAAGTGCAAAGTCCTGAGCTGGATTCCTGGTAACAAACAAAAAAAATCAATTCAATACAGATGCAATTTTTTTTTTGGGGTGTGGTCCTATTGGATGATAGACAACCACTTTACCCCTGAACTTGAATTGCGGCCCCAGATACAGTTGTTTTGGTAATATGTTTGATCCACGGTGGTTGAATCTGAGGTTTGCAGAATATGCACATATGGAGAATTGACAGTATTCACATATGCATGTTACAAAAACCAATTATCATGCTCACCATTCAATAACTTCCCACCTGTATCCAGCAGCATAGAGTGCAATGTTTAAATATCAGAAGTATGAATCTATCTCAGTATTTTATGGAGCTATATAACATTTCATTTTTTGCCTGGTCTTTATCTAGCCAGTTGTTAGGTTCTTAGGTTGTGGCATATCTTTGTTCATATGTCTTCGGGTGCTTGTCTCATAATTTTCTTAGGCTTAATTCCCAGAAGGGGAATTTCTGGGTAAAAGAGTATAAATATATAAAATCTTTTTGATACTTATAGACAAATTCCCTCTTAAAGTCAAGTACCCATTTATATTCTCAGCAACAACAAATTAAGGTATCATTTACCTCGTGACTTTTTTTTTTAGTACCAGGAATAGAACTCAGGACCTTGAGCTTGTCAGGCAGGTGCTGTGCAGCTGAGCTATATCCCCAGCCCTTGCCTTGTGTCTTTACAACTTCATAAATGATCATTCTTTGTACTCCTTGTCAATGTGATGGGCCAACATGGTCTTAATTTAATTACTTTACATCAACATTTCATTAATTATAATGAAAGAGGATGAACTCTTTTCATGTTTACTTCTTTAAACAAATGTAGTGATCTTTTTCTGAATGATTCATGGGATAGTTGTATATTAAGGAGACTTACCTGACGTCTTTGTTGTTGCTGTTCTGTTTTTTCCATGCTGAGGATTGAACCAGGGACCTGGCACGTGCTAGGCTAGCACTCTACCACATCCCCAGAACCACCCCTTTTTAAACTTTTATTTCATTTATTATTATTATTATTTGGTATGGGGAATTGAACTCAGGACCTTGCACTTGCCAGGCAGGCATTTGTGCCTCTGAGCTATATCCCTGGCCCTACTTTTTAAAATTTAATTTAATTTTTTATTATTTTAAAGAGTAAAAGAAGGATAACATAGTAATAGGGGGGCTTACCAAATTACAGACAAACTGGTAGGAAATTATCAATGGTTGTTGTTTTACATATTGTTATCTACAAGATAGTTTCTCAGGAAGCAAACAGACAAATAATAGTGAGTTACAAACAAAAGTGGTAGGTTATTATTAATGGTTGTTGTACTATACTTTGGTATCTTCAAAGTGGCTTCTAAAGAAAATAAATAGAGCTATACATGAGTGACCAATTGAATAATCATCGACTATTCTTAATGGTTGTTGTAGGAAATACATAATAATAAACATACATTCATTTATGAAATAGCATAGGAATAATACAAACACTGCAGAGTTAAGGACAGATTAGTAGGAAAATATCAATGGCTGTAATACATGGTGGCATCTTCAAAGTGGTTTCTCAGGAAGACAGAGATACCCAAGAAAGATCTAACAAGTAGTTACAGCCTAAGGGTTGTGGAAAATAGCATATTACCTCCTCACCAGTGACTCCTGTCGCTGAGGTGTGATGGCTGGAAAGAAGGCCAGGATTGAAAAGAAGGACCGAGAGACTTGCACCTGTGTGTAGCAACAGGCTGTTTTCTTGTTCCTCCATAGTCATGATTACCCAGGGCTCCTCCATGGAGATGACAGTCTGGCCAGAGGGAGAAGGCAGACCATGCCCCAGGCCCTCTCATTCCTGTTGGACTAACTGGTAGCATGGGTCTGAGCTCTGGGGCCTCCGCTTCAGAGGGCAGCCCAATCTCCAGTGGTCACCTTTGCACTCAGGGCATGGCCCATGGGGCCTCTTAGGGCCATTCCTCTTGAGGTGGCCTGGCTTTTAACAGTGGTAGCAGATGAATGCAGTTGTGGAGTTTTTTAATTTTAAAGAGAGAAAAAAATAAAACCTATATAGAATTTCAAAACAAGGTGATCAGAAATTAACAATGGTTATCAGATTGCATATTGTTATCTTCAAAGTAGTTGCTCAGATGACAAGATATAGGCAAGCAAAATTGTTCGGACAATATAAGTACGAACTGGTCCTTTCAATGAACTGATAGAAATTAGAAGTACAATTATCTTAGCTATCTTGTGTATGTATATTTTTCCCTTCCTTCTTTTCTCCTTTCCCCCATCCCAGTCATTCTTGTCTTCCTAGTGTAAGAAACTGCAAGAGTAAATAAGAACCAAAAGGTACAACAGATATTGTGAAAGGGAAAGAAACTGCCCAGCCCTTTTTATACTTTATTTTGAAATAAGGTGTCACTGTGTTGCCCATGGTAGCCTGGAACTCTTTTCTCAGCCTCCCGAGCAGAGGGACTGCAGGCTTGTGCTCCTATTCCCAGTCCTGTGTCTGTTTGAAATACTGTTTTACTTTGTTTAAGCTGCTGTAAGAAAATACCTTATAGCAGGTAACTTAGGAAATTCTTTTTTTTTTTTGGTACCAGGAATCAAACTCAGGACCTTGTGCTTGCCCGGCAGGCCCATGTGCCACTGAGCTATATCCCCAGCCCCCATATAGCAGGTAATTTAGAAACAGTGGAAACCTACTTCTCATGGTTTCAGGAGCTGAGAAGTCCAAGACCAAGGTACTGGTAGATCGAGTGCCTGGCGAAGGCTTGTTTCTCATAGATGGCACCCTCTTACGGTGTCTGACATAGGGAAACAGCTTTCTGAGGTTTCTTTTATAAGGGCACCTGTGCCCACTGAAGAGGGCAGAGCACTCACCACCTGATCACCTCTCCAAGGCTCCACCTTCCACACTGGCACATGGTGAAGTAGCTTGCAACGCGTGACCTTTCGGGGGACATAAACACTTAGACTACAGCAAACGTGTCACTAACATTCTGCTGTTTTCCTCACCTAAAGGTCTGGGACACTCCTTCCTGCTGGAGAGAACACCAGGTTGTCTCCCTGGGGCGAATTGCTCTGGCTCTTAATGAGGCTGAGCTGGGACAGCTGGATCTCCACTCCATAGACACAGTGGCTTCCCTGAGCCAGCAGACAGAGTGGACCTCAGGACAGGTCGGTAGCTGCTGCTGGGTCCTTTAAATATTCCGGTTGTCTCTGAATTTTGCTTATGTTTTCCTTGTTTATATTTAGCGTATTTATAATAGCTGCTTTCATATCCTTGTTACTAATCTCATCATCATTATTATTTTTGAATCTCTCTCTACAAACCTTTTTTCTCCTAGTTCTGAGTCATATTGTCTTGCTTATTTTTAAGCCTAGTACCTTTGACTAGTCGATGGGCATTATGAATTTTGCACTGGTGAGCTTTTTTTGGATTTAGTTGTATTCTTCTAAAGAATGTTGGGCTTTGTGCTGGTTATGTGTAAATAATGTGATTTCCCTTTTGAGCTTTCTTAGGGAAAGTCCAGAGCGACCTTTATTCTGTGGTTAATGTATACCCATTACTGGGACAAGATTCATCTAAAGACCCTACTCCACACACTGTGTATTTCAAGACCTCTCCACTCTGCTTGGTGGGGATGTGAACTCTCTTCTGTCTCCATGTGAGCTATGGGAGTTGCTCCACCCATTACCTTCTCTGTGGAATTTCAGTCCTTACATGCCCACATCAGGACTCGATACCCAAGCAGACATCTTTGCAGATTTCTACAACTCTGGCTGTATAGTTTCCTCCCTCTGTACTCCCCCATGAACAGTAGGTGCTCCTGGCCTTCTGAACCCCCTGCTCTCTCCTTGCTTTTTCTCAGTTATTTATAGAAAAATGTAGATTATCTGTTCTCTGAGCCTGATGATATGGAAAGAAAACATTCTAAGAGTCTGACTTCATTTCCTTTGGGGCCACCTGTGATATTTGTACTGGCTTAGAATAGAGCTTGGGCACAGAAACTGTATCTATAAAAGATGACTAGGACACATTTTTCTTTAAAAATATGTTTAGACATACATGTTTTGTCACATAGGAAATATTTATTGAATAAATGAATGCTGAAGCATTCTTGTTCTTGTGGGGTCAGTGGGAGCAGACTGCCACTTTCTGAGTGTTGGGGAACCCAGGATGAAGAATAGTTTGCTAGGTTTGCTTCTGTGAATTTTTGACCTTGGAGCTGTGCCCTCAGCTCAGCCAGACCACTGGGCTTGTTTGGGTCCCACTGGAAATGGTCTCTGGGCAGTGAGGAAGGGCTTGCCTTATTTGTTTTCCTTCAAGATCCCTGTTCTGTGCTCCCTGTTGTCCAATATCTGAATATAGTAGTTTCATATTTTGCTCAGGCTAGTATAGTCGTGTGTTTTTTGGGTCTGATTATTCTTCTTTTCCCCCCATTTTTCTAGTTGTTTGTGGTGGGAGAAAAATTTAATTTTCCAGCTCCTAGAGACTTCCTCCTCCATCTTGAAAACCAGCAGCTTAGCTGTGATGGCTAATCCTTCATGGACCTAAGAAACAGCTCTCGCAAGCATGTTAATGTTTTGACTAGGAGACATGTTTAGGGTGTTCAGTCTCCTAGACTGCTGCAGAGGGAAGTCCTAGCTCCTTTACGTTATCCTCATTCACAGACACTTTTCCCTCAGTAGGCTTACATATTACCATATCAGCAACCCTACAAAAATGTGTCTCTTCTTTATTTGTGTTCCAGAAAGTTCTGTCATTAACTCCAACAGTGCAGGTACCTCGAACCATCCTCAGGTCCGGGGTAGAATATACTGGTTTGGCCAGGCATGTGTCAGGGCCAGGCTAGTATAGTCCCTCTGCCCAGGACCACATGAGCTGAGAGTGGGGAAAGGTGATTAAGATCCCCCTAAAGATGTCTGTGTTACAGTTTGTGTCTGGATGTCCCCCCAAAGCCTCATGCAGTCATGGGGTCCCAGCCTTTTGGAGGCGGCTAAATCTAGAGTTTGTGATTGATTCATGGTCTAATGCTAGAGTTAAAGGTGTGAGTGCCACACCCTCCCTAGGACGGGGAGCCTGACTGCGATATAAGGGGTGGAAAGAGGCTTGCTCCCCACTTCTCTCTTGCTGCTTTTGCTGGTTTCTGCAGCCGTGAATGTTTGCTCCTGTATCATGTGCCACCCTGCCCTGGAGCCAGCCAAGTATGGACTGAAATTCTATAGACTACGAGCTAAATAAACCTTTCCCCTTTAACTTTGGGTGTCAGGTATTTCATCTCAGCAATGAGAGAAAGTAACTAAGACAGTCTACATCCGGGACCTATAGTATGTTGCCTTATGGGACTTTGCAGAGTGTATTTACTTAGGATCTTGAGATGAGAGACACCCTGAATCAGCCTAGTGATTCACAAGGGGCCTCGTAAGAGAGAGAGATAAGGGTGCCACAGCTATGCAAGGTGAGGTCACGGTGGAAGCAGAAGGAAACAGAAGGTGAGAAGGTGCTAGGCTGCTGATTTTCAAGATGGAGAAGGAACCTCTAGGAGCTGGAAAATTAAATCCCTTTGGAACTTCCAGAAAAAACATGCCTTGCTGATTTATTTTAGGGCTTAGTATCTTCAAAACTGTAAATGAATATGTCTGTAGTTGAAGCCACTAAGTTTGTGGTAATTTGTTATAGCAGCAGTAGAAGACTAATATGGAATAGTTTAGAAAGGAAAAGTGTGGTGATGTTGTTAAACTTAGAGAGAACTGGTGCTGGGCAGGCAAAAACCAATGTGCATCCCCTGCCCTCATGGGCTTTTTGTAATCAAGGTTTTCATGTTCCACAACTCCTGAGTGTCATCATTCAGGTAGAACACAGTGTGAAGGGTGTTCCCTACGAGATAGGCAACATGGAGGTCTTGGTCATGCGGATTGGGTGAATTAATAAGACAAAGCACTTTGGGTCATGTCTGATGCAGGAAGGTCAGTAAAAATCAGTTGTTTGTTCATTGTCATTATCATCATCATCATTACTAACACACCTCCTCCTTCTCTCTTCTGCATTAATTTCTTCATTTGCAAGGTGAGAGGGTTAAACTCAAAAACCTAAAGTTCCTTCCATTTCAGCATTCTATAATCTCGTGGTTCTGTGACTCTAAAACTGGCTTTGACTAGTTTAAGAAGTGCCACATCACACATTTGATATTAAAATCATTCTATTTGCAGTCTGAGGGAAACAGAAAAATATATCCAGCTTAGAAACTGGAGTATCTCTTTCCCTTTGCACCAATTTTAATTCTCATGGATGGCAGTGAGATTTATCAATATGTTCCGAGAGGATATGAAAACCTAACATTTGCATATATCATTTGCAGTCAGTTCCTCAACTTTAGCTCCCAATCAAACCCTTAAATGCATTTTTCTAGATTAATAGTCAGACCTGGAGGAACTATATTAACAGATAGTTCAGCTTAAAAACCAATAGAAGGGGAAAAACTATTACAGAAGCCAGAGGGATGAAGAGAGAGATTGAAATCGTACAGTTCCTCATTTTCCAGTGGTTAATATTGCCTAAAAGTGTTGGTATTAATTGTCTTAGAATCATTACATATACGCTGGTCCGGTCATTCGAGAGAACGTATTTTGACTTATCACCCTGCAGGCTGAGCTTGCATTTCTGGGTTCCAGTGGCAGGGACAATTTAATGCCACATCTTCAAAGTAATTTTGTTTGAATTGTACTTTTGCACTTTCATTTTAAAATGGGAATGCCTCATACTTGGGGAGCACAAATTGCTTTGCATCAACTAGTGAAACCTGATTGTGAAGACTTAATAAGAAAGATTCAGAATCTATCCTGAATCTTCATTTTTTCCCCCTAGCCAAACATCTTCACTGTAAGAGTACGGGTTCTGGATTCTGACTGTTGGGCTTTGGTCCTAGAACCAGTATTTTCGGGCACTGTGCTGTGGCTTATTTAACCTCTCTCTGTGCCTCAGTTGTTCACATGTGAAAGAGGGTTAATACTGATTAATATTAATACTAATATTAATGCTTAGGATTGTGGTAGTGCTAGCATGCAGAAAACATTCAATAAATGTTAGCTGTTATTGTTTTGTGTGTACATTCCCCTTTAGTTAACGATATTCACATCTCAGAAGGGCAGTACTGAAACTCCCCCAAAGTAGCTGTGAGTTTAGTAATCACTGACGGAAACTTAATAAAGAAACTGATCAGTGAGATTTACAGAAACATGGGAATCTCCTTGAAGCCGGTCCGTCATGTGAAGGCAGAAACATGATGCTATTTCAAAGGAACGCGTATTGCCTATGACTTCTATATGTCACTCGCGCATTCATTCATTTATTCATTCACTCACTTCAAACGTCCTTATTGGATTCCCACAATGGGGCAGACATCGTGGTAGATGCTTGGGATCAAATGGCAGACTCTCTAGCTGTGGTCCTTGTTTGGGGGGAGTCCACTGGTGATACAGACAAAAAGTCAGTGGCAAAGATGAACAGCTTTAAAAACTGTGATAAGTGATAAAGAAAATGGATCAGATGCTCCTAGGAAGAGTAGGGAGGGAGAACGAGCGGATGGTGTCCAGGACAAAGGCTTCTCTGAGAGGGCAGTGCTTCAGTGGACCCGCGGGAAGGCTCTAGCTGCGTGAGCAGTGGGATCCCCTTTGCAGCCTTTCACAGTGTTTCTCAACATTTCCCTCAACACCGTAATGATCCATATCGTGTGACGGGGGTGACTAACATTGCAAGGTGAAGGGAACTGTCACTACATCCTTGTGACCTTTACTTCCACTAAGCAGGTGCACATTCTTGGAAGTCTCCTTCTCGTCCTTGCCCTGTGATTTGTTGTAATCCTTTCACTTGCTCCTCTGAATGCCAAATGATTCAGACTTGATTCCAAAGCTCGCCTCCAAGGGCTTGGCTTGGATTGTTCTTCAGGCCCACACAGGTAGATCAGATGAATCGGGGTTCATTTACTTAGAAGTAGCGGCAGACTAGTTTGAGCAAAAGAATCAATTTATTGATTCACATAATTGAAAAGTTTAACCTTAGAGTTCAGGTACAGCTGGATCCAGGGGCTTCAACACTATTGTTGGGAATCGAGCTCTTACCACCCTGCAGGGCCCTCTGCTTTCTTTTGTATTCAGAGGCAGGCTGTCAATGTAGTAACGGGTCTTTCCATCCAACCGATCTGCATTTATATCATTCCAAGGGTCTATGTGTGCACCCTTCTGAATCCAATTCCAAGCTCTCTCTTAATTGCTGCAGTGAAAGTCTTGGTTGGTTCTGGCTGGATCACATGTCCAGTCGAGAACCAGTTACTGTATTCAGTTAAAACATGACTTGGTTAGACAGGACTAGGCCATATCATTATCTCTCTGTGGTTCATTCAGACTCATTATATGAACAAGAGTATGGGAAGTGTGGTGGATTAACTAAAGGTCAGTCTCGAATACCCGGCTGAACTGAGTCCACATGGTTTTGGGTGTGGAGGGCCCACCTGAGGATCATTGACAAAAGCAAAGAAGGAGAACTGGAGGGGAAGAGGGTGTGCTGTTGATTCTCCTGGAGAAGCTTGTCTTGATGGTTTTTCTGATATGAACTCAGCTGTTCTCATTGTCTGAGGAGCTTGGGTCCTTTCTGTTGCTGAGGATGGCTCCAGTTCTCTTCAGGGGAGCTCTGGTCCTTATTTTGAGCATTGCTTCCTGGCTCCAGTGCAGACCCCTCAGCCTGCTGGCACAGGTCCTTCATCCTGCTGGCACAGACTTCCTAGCTTCCCCTTACCTTTGGGCCTTCCCAGTGCAGATCCTTGATACGGACTTGCATGAGACATTGTCTTTGGCTCTGGGCCTCCAGCTGGACTCTTGGAGGACATTGCCACCAGCTCTAGGTCTTCAGCTGGATAAGTGCAGGATGTTGTCATAGGATCCAGGCCCTCAGCTGGATTCTTTGGGTCTCTAGCTCATGGACTTGGGTCTCTAGCTCATGGACAGATCTCTTGCACTCCTCTGCATTTGACTTCTGGGTGGATATTATAAAATAGCCCTATAAATTATGTGTCCTGTGTTGAATCTATTTCCTTGCAGACCCTGACTACAGCAGGAGGAGTGGTCCTCCAGGTAAAGTCACAAAGGATGAACAGCCGCTATGCTGGAAATCAGGGATCTTCCATACCAGTTCTCTTCAGTCTAAGCTCGTTGGAGTTATGCCTGTGTGATTTTTAATGCCAGAGCATCTTATGTACTACTCTCTGAAACTGAAGAGTGAGAGCAAGTATATTTCTGTAGAAAACAGGAAGCAAGATTCATTCCAGCTGAGCTGGTCAGGGAAAACTTCATGAAAACGGTACTGAACAAAAACATAGAAGTGTGGCTGGACTGTAACCCTTGGGGCCACAGAAGGGCACTTCAGACGGAGGGGCTGGCCTGAGCACAGGCAGAGACAGGAAGCTGTTGGGTACTGTTGGAAAGTTGTGGAAACAGAGACTAGAAATGTTTGGGTCCTGACGCAGAAGAACTTCAATGTCCAAGGTATCTGAAAATAATAAAAGTTTCTCAAGGAAATAAACAAGCCATTTTTGTTTTGTTTTTTATAGGCTAAATCCATCCTTCAAGGGTTCCTACAGGATTCAGGCTATCGTATCCAAGATCTGAAGAGCTTTCATTTAGTAGGACTTGGTGCCACTCTGTGTGCTATGAATGTCACCGAAATCCCACTTATAAAGATCTCGGAATTCAGGTAACCCAAATATTAGTAAGCAAAATGACAAATCACCCATCCATCCATCCATGGACCCATCTATCATCTATCCATCCATCCATCCATCCATCCATGCACCCATCTATCATCCATCCATCCATCCATGCACCTGTCTACCATCCATCCATCCATCCATCCATGCATGAATCCATCCACCCATCCATGCACCCATCCATCCATGCATGAATGCATGCATCCATCCATCCATCCATGCATGAGTCCATCCATTCGTCCATCCATCCATCCATCCATCCATCCATCCATCCATCCATCCATCCATGAACCCATCCATCCATCCGTCCATCCATCCATGCATGAATCCATCCATCCATCCATCCATCCATCCATCCATCCATCCATCCATCCACCCACCCACCCACTCATCCAGTATTCACCATTTTCTGATGCTTTGGCTCTTTCTGGGCCAGAATAGGGAGTGGGATTAGCTGGATCTTGTCTCCGTGCTGAGCCTCCTTACCTTCTGCACATTGCTTTTTGGTTGGAGATTTCCCCAAGCTCATACTGTACCCTTCTGTGTTTAACAAGGACGGTGGTGGCCAGAATTGGGAAATTACTGTGCAGCAACCACGTCTTGGCTGAATTTAAGAGGAAGGCAGAAGCTGTGTTTGGGAAGCCCTCTGAGTGGACCAGCTCTGTCTTGCAGGAGCTTGGGACCATTGCAGGTAAGAGGCCTCTGGAGCACACCTTTCACTCCCTTTTCAAACTTAAATCTAGGACAGAAGTAAAATAAAACAAAATAATAATCCTTGGTTACACGTGAACGTCAGTGTATTTACTGCAGGCTACCCTTGAAGCTGCAGAGAGTCGCGCCTGCAAATGTGCTTTTAAAATAAGCTTTCCTGAGATTCTCGTGCAAACCACAGTTTGAAAAGCACTGGTATAGAATGTGATTTAATTGGCCTCTAAATAGATTTATACACAATCTTAAAGTGTGTAAATTGAAGCTCCTTCTGGGCATACATTTCACTGTAGGAGGCCAATCCAGGCTAATGTGACCCACATATTTTTCTGAGTTGATTAAGGAACTTGATTCCCCAGTGTGATTTTCAGGGCCTTTTGTAAGGAATGATGATTGTCTGGGACATGCAGATCTGTACATTATGCAGCGCCATTAATAAAACAAGTAGAGTTCCGATGGCTTGAACTAAACCCTCACGATTCCTTTTTCTCCCCAGCTGGATTAACTAAGGCAGAGCTCCGAATGCTCGACAAGGAACTGATGCTGTATTTCCAGCCATCAGCAATAAAATGCCTTCCTGATGAGATATTCAAAGTAGGTGCTCAGATCTTCAAGGAGAGACGGGAGCTTGGTCCCATTTCAGATCACATAGGGAAATGGGTATCAGGCCTTGGATTCTTGGGGCTTGCAACCAGGCTTCTGCTAGTAGAGCCAGAGGACATCTCTATGCCCACAGTGGGTCATCACAAGATAATTTTAGGTGTTTAAAAAAGTTTTAAAAATTGTGTTTTAATTAGATTTATTTTTATGGTCACCTTCTCTTGATAGCAAGGGGTGCTGATTTCCTATTTATGGCAATGTGATAGGTTCATAAGTCCTTCTGTAAAACCCTTGGGGACAGATAAATTAAGAATTCCTCAAATTTTAAAAAGATCACCCTGTGCATGTCCTATATGTACCTTAACACCTCTAGTAGTGTCTGAAGCAATTGTAAGCAAATGCATTAATATTTTTGGGAAGAGATCTGTGACAAGTCACACTAGTTGGAATAGACTAAAAATAGCCTCACATCAATTCAGGTCAAATTTTGCCAGTAAATAAGTTTTGTCTTAAACTTTGGGGGGAAAAACGGTTTTTCGACATCAGATTTGCAGATGACAGATTTTGGAGCTTTGTAACATCTCCTTCTAAATAAAAAATATTATGGTGGATTTAAAGAAAAGTGTTATGCAAATCGCAATAGGACAGGTGGTTAATTGGTGTGGAAAAACTGAAAGGGTGAAAATGGATAAGCTGCAGTAGGGGAAGCAGGGTGTCTACTTAGAGAGCCTTGCTTCCTGTCCACGTACAGGATGAGGAACGTTTTTCTGGGACAGTCTGCTGCGCTGTGGATGACCCTGCTGTTCTTGCTTTCTGAGAAATGGGGGAAAACATTCTGTCCACCACACTTGGATAAGGCGCTCAAACCAGTGTTGCCACATTACTGGTTCATGTTCAAGACTGAGAGCTGACGTAAACCACTTCAGCACTACGGACAGTTCCCGACACAGAGCAGGTGCGCTCGCTCTTTGGGGTAAAGAGCAGCTCCCAAGGCCGATGCACCGGTTCCTGCTTCCGTTTTGGGGCATTCTGCTTGGCATAGGCAGCTTGGTTCTGGCATTTTTCTAAGCACTTATTCTCGGTCTCGTTTGGAGGACAGCTGTGGCTGCTTCATTGTTCAGGTGTTATCTATTCCAGAAATGCCTGCTGATAACCTCGAATGTTTTAGGCCCCAGGTTAAGGGTACGTGGGACCTGGGAGAGCCCTGTTAAAATGAGGAGACTGTTTCTCATCCCTGGCACATTAATGTGATGTAAGCACGAGGTCCCAGTATTGCTGGACCTTATTTTTTTAAAATAGAAGCAGCCGGGAATCTTCATTTTCATATGAAATCTCCTGATAATTAAAATGTTTGCAGCCAATTTGAATTCATTTTTGAAAATACAGTAGGCCTAGAGATTCAGTCTGGCCTGTGGGTCAGAGGCCAGCCCTGGAAATATAGTTGATTTGTGTAATACAGACTCTGTGTTAATGCTGGATATAAGCCACCCGCCCCCGAGATGAGGAGGAGGCGATGCTGTATCTTGGAGGACAGTAAGCTAGGCAGAAAGAAACGAGCAAAATTCTAGGCAGAAGGAAGTGCCTGGAAGGACGGGCCTCTGGGAACTGCGGACGCAGATGCTCATTCTCCTGGAGTGAGGTCCCCAGGAAGCTAGGGAGGCGGCACCCGGAGCGTGAAGGGACCGTCGATATGTCCAAGAGCGTGAGTTACATCCTGGGGGAAGCATCTACCTAGACAGGAGAGAAGAAGGTGGCTGAGGGAAGAGGAACGGGTAGGATCGTAAACACAGTATTTCTCAGATTTGGGGAAAGGGCTAAAACAATCAGAGTGAGGTTAGAGGCCCTTCCACAAGAGCAGAATCCTGTCACCCCATCTTATTCCACCGCCGCAGGAACTAGTCACCAAGTCCTTTGAAGCTGGCTGACCTCAGAAAACATCTTGCTAACAGTCCTCAAAGACCGTGTGCCCAGCAGAATTTCCCACGCTGCCTGGTGGGAGACGTCACCACTAGGTTACTGCGCTTTTCCTCCTCACGATCACACCTCCGCCCAGCAGCATTCACGGCCTGGGGTTCAGGTGGTCACGCCAGGAATCAGAACTGGCACGGGAGATAAATTCTCTGAGCCATCTAACAGGTAACCCAAGAGCTCAGAGAGGCTGTGTACCTTGCCCAAGACCACACAGCTAGTGTCTGGCAGAGCTGGGGCTCAGGGTCAGGTCCACGGCATTGAGGCTTCTGCTTCCTTTCCTACGTCAGTATCCCCTCTTCAGCTGTCCTTACTACCGCATACTTCCGGAGAAAGCCTTAATTTAGAGCTAGGACGTTCTAAAGTAACTTTTAACCCTTTTAAGTTCCCTACTCTTTCTTTTCTAAGAGGTGAAGGATCGAAATATTACTGGTCAAGAGATCTAGTGGGAATTCAAATACGTTGTTTTCTTTTAACTTCTATTTAGTGCTTGCTCCTGGCAAGTCTTGCTGCTTGTCCCTGTTTGGGCAGTTTTGGGTCACCCTCCCCATGTTAAAGTGTACGTATTTGTGTGGTGAAAGGCATCTGATACTAAGGAAGCATCTCAGAGGCGCACAGGTGGCAGATTCTCGGCGGATGATGCAGGCTGGCGAAGCCCAGAGAGAGCCCGCCCTGAGGGCCGCCCCCTGTCCCTGCTGCAGGAGCTGTCCGCGGAGCAGATCGCCGGCTTGGGCCCCGAGAACGCCGCGGCGGTCACCCCGGCCCAGAGCCGGCGGCTCAGCGCGCCCCAGCTGCAGAGCCTCCAGCGCGCGCGAGACGGCGCCAAGCTCC